TACATTAAGAGAGAAGAAAATGAATATAATAAAATCAATCTGAGCCAGATCTTGTAGGGCCTGGGAAGTTTGGAAATCAGTTGTGGGTATTAGGGAAAGAAGTGACATTATCTGGCTATTATTTAACAAACTCATTGGGCTGCAATGTAAGAATGAACAGTGATCAAGGATAGTACCTGACTGAGAAAATATAATAATCTAGGTAACAGGTAATAGTAGGTTGGATGAAGGTGGTATTAGGAGGATGAGAGAAGTACTTAGATCCTGTTGATATCTTATAATCAATAGTTTCCTCATAAATTAGATGTGTGGTGTGAAAAGAAGCAAGGAGTAAAGATGACTCTACAGTTTGTGGCCTGAGTCACTGTATGTAACTACCATGAAAATGGAAAAGATGGGTTGGGTCAGGTTTGTGAAGGGAAATCTAAACTTAATTTTTGGAGTGCTTACAAATTGTTTATTAGATATCCGATCTGATTTATTAAGTATACAGCTGGATATAGACTATAACTCAGAGGAAAGGTCCAAGCTAGATATGTAAGTTAGGAGATAACATAATACTAACATTTTTAAAGCTTATGATTAAATGGAAAAAAATTAAGTGTAAACAAAGGTGAACACCTAAAAAGTCAATTCTTTTTTTTTAAAGAGAGAGACAGAGAGAGAGAGAGAGAGAGAAGAGAGAGAGAATTTTTTAATATTTATTTTTCAGTTTTCGGCGGACACAACATCTTTATTTTATTTGTATGTGGTGCTGAGGATCAAACCCAGCGCCCTGCGCATGCCAGGCAAGTGCGCTACTGCTTGAGCCACATCCCCAGCCCCAAAAGTCAATTCTTTAAGTAGAAAATGAATAATTCCTGACTTCATAAGAAAAACGGATTTATTGTGTCTTTTCTAGAATTTACTTACTTGTCTTAATAGTCTTCCCATTTTCTCTTTAAAAATTATTGTATCTAGTCAAAACATTTCATATTTCGTATCACAGAATTTGTTAAATTGCTTTCCACTAACCAGCCAGAAAATAGTTATTCTGTAATCTCAGTTATCTGCTGCAAGGAACTCAGAAATTTTCAACACTTACTTGTTTTAATACTAAAAATGGAATTGTCTCTTTCAATGTTTTGCTCTCCAAGATACGTAAATAATGTTCTTGTTATATGTCTGCAGTTTTGGCTTTAGTTTTATTTTGGTCCCATTACTAAAAGTGGGATTCATGCCTAGAATTTCTCCAAAATAATAATAAAAATGATTCTGTTTTTTAAATATAATGTTCAAATGGAAATCATAGACTTTCAGAAATAAATTATTAGCTTAAATTTTTAAAATACCACTTTGTTTCACTTGTCCTTATTTTATATACTCCTCCTGTCATTCACTAATGATTGCAATGGAACAGAATAAGTGAGATATTTAGAACTTTCCTAATTCAGAAGAAAAGGCGAGATAAGAATTTTGATAGAAGGGCCCACTCAAGAATGTAAGTAAAATAGTATTAATTTGTTTTAAGTTCTACATTTTATTTCTATTTCAAGTAGAGGTATTTATGTTACTCTTATTTCTGACACTAATTTTTCCCATTAATCTTACTTTTGGATATTGATTTGCATTTTATATATATGAGAAACTTGTAGTTAATTTTCCTCTGTAGTCACTTATACCTCATGAGACCTGGACCTCAGCCCAAGGTCTTTGTGTTTCTTACATGCTGCCCAGCATAGAACATAAAGCTAATTTTTCTAGTGTTGTACCAGTACAGAAGTATGTGTTTTACCTCTAGAAGGACAAAACGCAATAGAGATTAAGAATGTGGGCTTTGTTTTCTATCATATGTGGAAACTAGAGAGAAATAAAGAATAAAAAATAAGAGGGATGGATGACAAGAGGGAATCCCATGAAAGTAGAGGGAATAATGTGGAGTAGAGGAAAGGAATGAAGGGTGAGGGAGGAGGAATGGGAAAGGGATGAAATGTGGAAAGAAATTGACCATACTGTTCTGTGCATATATGAGTGTACAATGAACTCCACATTCATGTATAATTACAGTATACCAATTAAAGAGTAATAAATAAATAGAAGAAAGAACAATTAGGGAGAGAAACTGGTGAGGAAGAAGAGGAATAAAATGGCAAATACTGGTGTTCCAAATGGAGCAAAATGTGTTATCTATGTATTAATAATACAAGACGAACCACACTAGTATGTCTAACTACAATACACTAATGAAAACCAATTTAAAACAAAGAACATAGTATTTGGAGAGGGATATCTAGTTGTCACTCTGGAACACTTCAAATAAACCAAAAACATGGAGTAAGAATTAAAAACTATTAGGCATTATTGCAATGAGCTATTTTTAGGGTAATAAAAGCTGGACTATTATATGATATTTTTTTAAAGATGGAGGAAATAGGAATTAGATTGTTCTAAATAATCTAATTTGAGTTTTATTTTTTGCTTTCATTGAATCACTTTGTTTTCTTCATGAGAACAGTATGTTTTTCTTGGCTTCACAGCTGGCAGTAAAAATTAATGGCATATTATCTGAATGTATAATATAAGCTCCTTTTGTTATTATACAATTGTGGCTTTTTTCCTCCTTACCCACTATAACTTGTTGATTTGTGTTCCTTTTTTTGGGGTAAGCGGAGAAATATGAAATTTGTGACTTTTTATATCATGGTAAGAATATCCTGGACATGACATGATGGCTATTAAAATAATTACACATGAAATAGAGACAGAAAAAAACCCCACTATTCATAATGACTTTCATGTGTGAGCTGCTAAAAATCTGTAAGAATCAGGCAAAGTGTTCAGCTTTCAGCAGTTCAAGTTGGAACTGCACATTGGAACAATTATTTTTACTTCATGCAAAAAAAAAAAAACATAGTTTCTTGTCCCAAACTGTATTTCTTGTCCTGCTCAGCTGTCTGAAAATTTCTGATGTTGCAGAGGAAGTTCCTAGAGGAATATCTATGATTCAACACATATTAATCACAACTGCTGGATGCAAAAAGGTCCTCTACAAAATGATGTATCGGTAGCACACATGATCATGTGTGAAAATTTCAGAGAAAGCCACACATTTTTCTATTACTATTCTTAAGGTTCAGCAGGAGCTCATAAACTTTTGGTTCCATGAAAGACTTTGCCATTCTTCCAGAAACTAATTTAAATATACAAACTATGTAATATTCAACATCAAAACAGAAATATAAGAATACTTATATGTATATGTAAATTTTGTCGATGCATTCTGTCATAGTATTTCACTATAGTGATTACATGAAAGGAAAAATAAAACTCAGATTCTTTAGAACAATCTAATTCCTATTTCATTCCTATTTTTAAAGTAATAATTACTATCCAATATTTTTAAAGTAATAATTACTATCCAATATGTTAACATATCTTAAGTATGAATAATCATAAGAAGTGAAATGTATTGTGACTTTTATTGCTCCAAAGTCACCAGTTTTACCAAACAACACTATGGTTTGCTATCCATTTTCTTAATTGTTGAAAATATTAAATCACAATTAGAAAAAAGTAAAAAATATTCTCAGTTCTTTCCTCTGGATTAAAAAAATAAGTAAAACTATTGGTCTGAATTACTTATAAACACTAGAGTTTCTCTATATAAAAATGAATTATGGAAGTCATTTTTTACCTAGAAAAACTCTAGTGTTTAATATTAGAAAAATTGACCTTCACTTTGTGCTTATTTCAAATGGACTATTTTAGAAGTGGGGAAAAAAAACATATTGATATAAATTAATGACAGAAAGGTTGAATGCATTTCAATAAATCTATATACTATTAAATTGTAGTGCTATTTTCTCCTAACCATTAAAGGAGATTTTTTTTAGAAACCAGTGGTGATAAAATCTTCTCTTATACTAAATCTTTAGATTCCTATGTAGTAAAACACACCTTTTCAGAAAAGCAGAGTCTAGGTTTGATGCTTCCTCATTCAAAGAATGGTCATATACAGACTTCCTAAGAAAAATTATTAGAAGTGAAATTTTTGTAAATTTCTTAAATTTAAAAAGAAAGCAAACTTATACATACAAATTAATATAATTTTCTCAGGTATAATTGAATGACATAATTCTTGTAATAATATTTGAAATTTTATAGCTATTAAAATATTATGATGAAATTATCTCTTTATAGGATACTTTTAAGAACTTTCAATTGGTAATAAATATATCTTTAATCTATTAATTTTACATAAAATTATAAATTGAGGCTCATCTTAGTCTGTTGCGGCTGGTATAACAAAATTATATAAACTATGAGGCTTGTAAATGATGGACAGTTATTTCTCACAGTTCTGGATCAAGGCACTGGCAGATTTGATGTTTGGTGACTGCCCATTCTTCACACAAAGGGCATTGTTGCTGTGTCTCACATGGTAGAAGGAGAAAAGAGGAGTTTTCTGGCACCTCTTTATTGAGGGCAACAATTTCATTAATGAAGATTCTGCTATTATCACTTCCTAAAACCTCCAACTCTTGATGTTTTTACCTTGGGTGTTAGGGTTTCAACAGCTGAATTTTGAGGTTACAGAAACATTATGACTACAGTGTGAAACAAGAAGACTTGGAAAAGACAAAAATAGGTGTGGTATTTTGTTAAGGTTATAGTCCTTTTTTTTTCCCTTTTATTTAAATATTTCATCAGCAAGGCACTGAAATGCCTTACTTCTTATGTTCTGTGAACCTATGTTTAAACAGTCATCATTCTTTATGTTATAATAATTAATTGCAGTATTTTTTAAAAATATATATATTCTGGATTGAAAATAGAGGCTCAAACAATAAGCCTGGTACTTCTGTTTCCTGATTTATGTTTTTTAATGGATCTTTAATGTATTTCTTTTTTTTTTTTTGTAATGGTACTAGTTTTAAAAAATCCATATATACAGCAAGAAAAGTGTCACACAAGAAGGGTATCCTAACACAATTTTTTAAATGTTTTGGTTTTTATTTAAGGCTGAGCAAGACAATGGCCATCCCCTCCCTGCCTTTGCCAGTTTACACATTGAAATACTGGACGAGAACAACCAGAGCCCCTATTTCACAATGCCAAGCTATCAAGGCTACATCCTTGAATCTGCCCCAGTGGGAGCAACCATTTCTGACAATATAGATTTAACCACTCCTCTAAGAATTGTAGCTCTGGACAAAGACATAGAAGATGTAAGTGAAATATGCATTTTTTCCTTTTGTTTTGTTAATACTTATTCTTATATTTATGTTGTTTTAATAAAAATGTTACAAAGATATGGCTACATAAACTATAGAATACAGGATATACAAAATCATTATAATGATTTAATTCCATACTAAAGATGTTTTTTTAAAAATGTGTTCGAATTCAGTAACTGTTCTTTTTCAGTTTGCAGCAATTCAGTATATAATAGAACAGGAATGTTTCACTTGGGGTTTGCTAAGTCACCGGGCAATCTTTTGTATTAATATAAATTAAAAACTGTTTTACATAATTACTGATAGGGGAAAAAAATAATGGTGTTACCCAGTGAAAATGAAAATCATGACAGTGGCCCAAGAGTGTGATTAGGGGGAGTTTATGCCATATGTTGGTACTCTCTTAAAGAAAACACATTGGGGGCAATGGATCGACTCAAGTCTGGCAGTGGCTATAGACATGACCACTCTTCCATCGTTGTCTTCTGGCTTTGTGGAACTGACCCTATCTGCATGAGTGGAAAGTGGTCCAGGTTGTACAAATCAGAGTACTTTATTCCCTTAGTGAGAGTCATATTATGTGTGGACTTGATAGAAAATCTATACCAGAGTTTTCCTCAAATACACATTCATGACACATATTTCCTTATAGGAAAAGCTTCGAGTTCAGGTACATTCTATATTTGCTATCCTGAACATTTCTTCATCCTCAATTTCTGATACTTCTGCTTTACTCACTACATTTATCAATTACTTGTAGTTCCCTGCATTCACCAAGCTATGTTTTACCTAATTTTTTTTTACATATTTTTATGTTTTGAAAACTTTCATCTTCTTTTATCCAGAGCAGCATGGATAGCTTATATTTAATGTATGATTTTATAATTCAGCTTAGACATTTCCTTACACAGAAATCTTTCATGGCATTCATTGCCCAATTTGCATTGCAAACACCCTCACAGTGCATGTCTCTATGACTCATCCAACTTTGTAATGTGGGTCTTTCTCCCTCATGGAGTTTAAATTTCTTGGGAAAATGTCCTATATGTTAATAACATATGTATCCTGAACACTACCACAGTTTTCAGCACTTGATATATTTTAATAGTTCTTCAATTTAATGATAAATTCAGACATGACTGAATAAATGATAATATCTAATATATGATTCAAAAATTATAATGATATTAAGTTAATTAATTCCATAATTTAGAATATAGCCCATTCCATGGTTGGCCAATTCAATTCTGAGATGGTTCTTCCTCATATTGCTATGAAACCAATCTACTTGGAACTCACATATTTTCTTAAAATTTCAATTTACCAGAGCATAGAATAAATCTGTGAAATAGTCACTAATGTGTTTGAAGATGAATTTACGTTCTTCTGAATCATCTCTTTTTGCTGACCAAACATTCATTATTTTTGTGACATACATTAGTTCATTGCTAGGATCTTTAAAAATCTGCATTAACAAGAATATTTCAAGGTGGTTTTTCTTTACAATAAAAAAAAAATTGCTTCATGGTGAAATCTTGACACTAATGAAAGCCAGAATTAGTGAAAATAATCAGCATAGGGACAAACTGTTTAAGAAGAAAGAGACATGTCACCTTAGGCCAGTATCACCAATAAAATTGTAAATTAAGCTCAAATGTAAAAACAGAATTGGTCACTGCAGGGCTAGGCTCCCATGAATTGTTTTAAGAATAGCTCTAACAGGGCAGATACTAAGGAGTGACAAATTTGAATTAATAGGTCCAAAAATCAAGTTGGACTTCTTTCTTCAATTAATTAGAAAATGAGCACAAAAGTTTAAGAAATGTTGTTAGGGATTGAAGAGTTATGATTTTCTTCACAGTGGAGATTTTGACTTTGAAAGAATCCTAAGAGTCATAGTAAAACGAAAAAAGCAAAGTACAGAAAAAAAAAAAAAACACTTATGCCAGTGGGTTATTTTTTTGTATAAATGCACATAGACATATACAGATTTATATTTGTATGCATAATATTTATGAATCATTCATATTTATGATTTTTAAAGGACTCTTACCACATTATAGTTTCAAACTAGTACTAGGTGATGTACAAGGTGTGTAAAAAGGAGATCTGAGACTGCCATGTTTATAGTGTCAGAACAACTAAAAACTGATTATTGAATTCCATTTAGAAAATAATAGTGTAGAGATCACCCATTTGACTGGTAAAAAGAGAATTGTTTACTTACCATTCATCCATTTATGTAAGTTAATTTCCATAAAGTATTATTGTTTCAAGACACAGATATCTTACTTAGAAATAAACTCAATATATTCTTAAAGATATTAGGTACTTTAAATAAATACTTATAATAAATATCATTGTTACATAATATGTATGTCACAATAATAAGAAAAATGTTACATGTATTTTGAGAAAAGTTGTGAATTTAGACATTGGAAAAATTGATTTTTCTCTCTTACTAGTGTACATTTTATGTATGTTGTAATTGTAATTATTTATATTTATATTTTTTTCATGTCTAATTTGCATATAGGTTCCACCTGGTGGAGTTCCTGTAGGTATTAGGCGCTGATTTTGTGACTGTTCATTGCTGTGGTTAATTTCTTTTTTTTTTCTTTTTTCTAGTATAACTTCACTATCATTTATAAATATATCTAAAAAAAGCTTTACGAATGTTTAAGCACATGTACATCATATTATTGATCATTGATTATTATACCATGAAAATTTGTAGTTCACAATGAAATTTTGTAGTTTGTAATTTCATTGTGAATTTTGATAAAGATTGTTTATTTATTTATTCATTTTGTCTATTACAGACATTAATAATTAATTACAGCATTCTTTCTAAAAGACTAAATTTTAAATTGAACTTTTCGGAACTAGGTACCTCAGCAACTACTTGTTAATTAATTAAAATTTCATATTAGATGAAATTTTTTGTCATTTCCTGTTATGCTTTGTCATACCTATATATGCATGTACCTAGGTAAGTATACATACATATGCACATATGTACATATGTGAAGAAGTTTTATGTGCACATGTAAAAACATGCATATATTCTTGTGTGTGTGATGAAGTGTCTTGATTCCCATTATGTACTCTAAATTGGTTTAAAATTCACTAATGTCATATTTGAATTCTAAATAATGGGATGCCTTTGCTTATTTTACATTCATGTATTTTTTACTATGGTTTTATACATGTATTTAAATTTATATTCATTTTTATGTCATTTTGAGTGTATGTCAGAATTTGTTTTACTCTCAAATAATAATATATAAGTCAATGTAGTAATAAGTCATGCTTTTAGTACATACCAAATGCATATTCTATAGTAAGTATTTCCTTATGTCACAGAAGAAAATGATTTTAATCAATTATCTGTTTATATATTGATTTAGAATACTACCATTCATTTTAAATAATCCAACAGACACAACTACTACAAAATATGTATTCTCTATCATTATTTTTCTACTTGTATCCCAATTTATGAAACTTAAAACTATGAATTGAAATGTGTTATATATATACAAATGTTGACTGAACTTAGCACATTTATTATAGGAATATAAAGTTCTAATATGTTTATGAAATACAAACTGAATATTATGATGCAGTTTGTCAAAGAAAGATTTAAAGTTATAAAGGGTTTGAACGAAGGATATTTGACTTCATATATACATTGTTCCTTACTAATTTTTTTACATAACTGAACTTGTCAAGAGCAGCAAAATCACTGTAAATACTGTCAATCAAAACAATAGTTTTGTGATGTCAATGCATGAACACTGAAGATTGATATTAATATTACATAAAATTTTCACAAAATGAATAAAAACATAATATACTTTCTGAAACACTCATATCACTCTTGAAAGTGGTATTATTTTTAAAAATCAAGCTAAAATATTAAACTTTGAATTATATTTTGCTGAAAATTTCCAAATATGTCTTAAGTTTTTGTACTTAAACATCAAGATACTCACCAATAGCATCTGTGTATGATATATACATCTAAGTGTGTATGTATGTACACATACATACATACATATAAAATCTACTATTTTAAGTAAATATAAATATCAAAGAGTTCTATTTCAATCATAGATTAACTGTGTAAAATAAATTAAAATGTTTTATGAAAGGTCATGTATACTTCTAATTTTATATATTACATTATCTCTTTTTTAAGAAATAACAATCTGTAATCCTAGAGGATGTATTTATTGATCTCTTGCTAGTTACTATAAGAGAAGTCAAGAAGTTGAGAAACAAATTATCAAAAGATATTTAATATCTTTTTTATGCAATATGAGACATTTTATAGATTATCAAATTTGTGTATCATTTTAAATAGAAACATTTGACAATGAAATCTTAGGATTTTCAGATAATTGATAAAACAAAATGATTCCCTTTGTGACATACCGCAATAGACTATAGCCACACACATACACACAGTCGCTTACAACAACATTCAAATGTTTAAAAAGCTCATGAGTATAGGAAGGAATATATCTAGCTAATTTGGTAGGGGCTACAGTTGAATGGAAGAAAAGAAATTAAAAGATAATTAAAGTATTAACTAAATAAAGAAATAATAAGGGATTTGTACAAAAATAAAAAAATAAATAGTAAAGAAGCCACATAGCAAAACTTGCTACTACGTATTACTGGACCTTAAAGTTTTTAGTAACATGAAGTGTATTAGATGCATTATTGTGACGTTAAGAAAACTGAGGAAAAATATATGCTATTTATTTTGATATTGATGCATGCTAATATTTTTGATCATCTTTGAAGTAATAATTGAATTTCATCGTGACTGTGAAGTGTAACAAAATAATGAGAATCTTCTAGAATGTGGTTCAAAACGTTACTTTTATAAATAAATAATTCTATTTTAAAAATTGAGTATCATATTTGATTATTCAAAATAACCCACTTTCTATCCATATCTTAAATTGATCTCATGACATTAAAATGCAAATGTCTGAAATACCTGTTTGAAAATATCAGATTGTAAGATCTCTTGCCCATTGTATTTTAATGTATGTGACTACTTTGTAATATGCAGACCAATTGAAGCTATTACCTTTAGCATTAATTTTTGCATTATTTGGAGACAAATGTAGCACACCGACCTTAAATCAAAATCATGGACACAGAAATTACCACAAAATGAGATATTATGAATGCATAACTTCAGGTTCAAATGAAATTATTCATTTTAAATTGTTTGAAGAAATACAGATTTCAGTTTTGAAAATTTTTATAAGTTAAAGTATAGTGTGGTTTAAAGTGTACCCACTTTTAATTGTATTAATGGGCTTTACAACTTTCTTTATTCACATAGAAAATTTAAAAATGTGAATCCTGGTTTTATTTCCAAATGAATATTTTTTTAACAATCTGTTACTCTCTGCTCTGTCCTATGTCCTTGATACTAGACTTAGGAAAAAAGTTCTTTCTTATGAAACTGTGTTTCACATCATACTATTCATAGTATTTTAAAAGGTATCATATCCATACAGATACCTTAGCTCCCGGTATTATACATTTTTATTTTTCATAGTCTTCCTCATATTCCACTCTCTCAATATTCACCTTTTGTTTGCCCCACCTGCTTTCCCGTCCCACTACACATATACCAATCCAAGTGTCCTTGCTTTATATCTGTTTTTTCTCTGAATTGCAGAGAATAATTATCATTCAGGGTTGGCAATAAAATTGTGAAGAATTTTCTGTGCCAAGTTAATTATCTCTTATTCTTGAACCTTTGAATATGCTTAAACCTCAATATGCATTATCATTTTTTCCAGGCTCTCTTAATAGATACCTGTGTTAAATTCTTATTTTTTTTAAAAAATTATCTGAAATATTTTAATTAAAATAAGTGTTATGTTTGAAAAAACTTTGCAATAGTAAAATGAGGAGAAAGCATGATATTTATGGATAATGAATAATACATAACTGATTTTATTCCTATTTTACATTAAACCTTGAACAAGATATGAGCAGTTTATTACTACAAATGAAGGAACTGTAAAATCTTATAACTAAACTTCTGGGACCCAATTTCCTTTTCTTACATTTATTTCTTATTTCTTGAATCCAATAAAGTTATGGAAAATATTGATATTAAGTAGTAAGTAAGAATATGTTCAATTGTATTGCTTTTTATTCTTTTTATTCTTTTCCTTGTTTTTTGATATTAATTACAGCAATATTTTTCTTTTAAAATAGTTTTTCAATATGAGGGCTTGAACTTTTGTTCCTGCTAGGCAACCTCTGTACCTCTCCGCTACATTTCCAGTCTTCTAGTACATATTTTAAAATATTCTGCATTTCATACTACGGGTCACCATTTTTCGACCACCTTAGATTATTCATGAGTAAATATCTATTAACATTTCTTTTTTTTCTTAGTAAATCTTAATATAGTTGTACATATTTTTTGTAACAAACATTAAAAATTAATTTTAGGTAATTAAACTAATAGCCACATTATGTAATCAACTTTTCAATAATGAACTTTTTTTTTTTTTAAGACAAAAGACCCAGAGCTTCACCTTTTTCTGAATGATTACACATCAGTCTTCACTGTCACACAGACTGGTGTCACTCGCTACCTCACCCTGCTGCAACCAGTGGACAGGGAAGAACAGCAAACTTACACATTTTCGGTAAAAAATTTCATATATATGCATGTAAATGTCTTCTGTCTTTTTGAAATGGAAAGAGATGTCTGGTTAAAATTGACAAGGTCTATGATTTGAAGAGAAAACTTAAATATTTCAGGTAATGTTGAAGAAAATATCAATTGCAAAAAATTCTTCATATGTATCTCACCTTTCTCAGTGCATAAATTTGTGTAGCTACATTAATATTTTCCCCACAAAAGGAAAACACTTCTTCAGTCTTCACCATACACTAAAAATTAATAATATAAACTAGAATTCACCAAATAATCCTGTCTTAAACTTTTTGTTGTATTTTCAATTTTGTCATAGGGTTAAGCTAGTAATTCTCAACTGAGGATATTTTTTTTACATTCAGAGAATGTTTTGTTACATATGGAGGCATTTCTGGATGTCACAACGGAAGGGAGTGCTACTGGCCTCTAATGGATAGATACAAAATATGGCTCTGAAAATCTTATGACACACCAAACACCCCTTACTAAAAACTATCCGGCCCAAATGTCAATAGCATGGAGAAATCATGGGTTGGGGTTGATTAATCAAGGTTGGGGAGTGAATATTATTAAAGTTGTGATTGCACATATTTATCATGAAGTAGAAACACATACATACACACACACACACACACGGACTAGTATAATAAGGTTTAAGAGATAAGTACAGATCTAAAAACTATGTCAGATCCTTCAATAAAGTGTAAGAAAAGATGAACAGATAATAGATGCAAGTTATTGAACTTGGGATTTCTTTCTGGACAGGCCTACATAACAAAAGACTGGAATTTCTAGAAAATCTTATTTGACAATTAGTTATGTGTCTAAACCTTATTAGACACATAGTTGATTCCAGAAGCCATTCTCACAAGAATGGATGTCTGATACTTGTAGAATTGATTGTCACACACTCTCAATTATTTTTTTTAAGTGGAGAAAAATCAAGGAGAACCCCTTTATTACACATTTATAGAATATATATATATATATATATATATATATATATATATATATACTATAGTTATTAAAAATGGATCAATTTTTAAAATTTTTGTATATTATATTTTGCATTCCTTTTTCCATCATGCTTACAATCTTTCCAAACTTGTTTTCTGTTACCAAAGTGTTCTGCAACCACTACCCCACCACTGTACAAATGAAAGAAATAAATATCCAATAGGTCCTTGAAAGAGACATTAACAGAGAAACTAAATTAATCCAATGACACATTAATAATTATTGAGTTTTCAAATTTTTAATACTGTAATCACTAGTAACAAATGTTAGTGAGTCCTTTAAAATTATCGTTTTGTGAATTTGTACAATATAATTTAACATATTTAGTGTACCTAACTTCTTGTCTGATAAAAATATGTTAATGTTAACTATGAAAGTAACTATTATATCTAAGGGGAAAAAAGAAAATATGAAAATAGTAGAAACTATTAAATAAGAGGAAGGGGTGGAGGAGTAAGAGGGAGGGCAAGGAAGAAGAATGGGGGCAGGGATATGAGTCAACTATGTTATTTTCATGTACAGATATGCTGCAGAGAAACCCATTGTTCTGTATAATTAAAATGCTCCAGTAAAAAGTAGATATTATATTGTAATATTACACAATATTATATTTAAAATACCTAAACATGAAGAATATTTTCCATTTAATTTTTAAGGATTACTTTGTATTTAGCTCTAAGGAATCAGTAATGTTATTGGTTCACTTTAAGCCTCCAAGATATTTTGCATATCCCCTTATTTAAAATGTGCTTGCATTGGAATGTGTTGAAAGTAGAACAGGATCCCTACTAATTTCTTTTTAGTACATTAAAAAACTTGAATATATGCGTATATATTTTTATTACTTCCTTTCATCAACAAAACATCTTATTACCCTTTTAAAATTGTAAATCACTTATTAAAAACTCATTAAGTTGTAAGAGTGGATTCTGTACTATTTATACTTGCATGAGTTCTCTATTAAGTGTATTTTTCTTCCTCTAAAGATAACAGCATTTGATGGAGTACAAGAAAGCGAGCCAGTTATTGTCAATATTCGAGTAATGGATGCAAATGACAATACTCCAACCTTCCCAGAAATATCCTATGATGTCTATGTATACACAGACATGAGTGCGGGAGACAGTGTCATACAGGTAAGTACCCATATGATGTAAGGATATGCACAAAGCAGTTATTTCCATGGGCATTGCACAATGTATTAAGAAATCACTTAAGAAATAAAAATGAGGGCTGGGGCTGTAGCTCAGTGGCAGAGCACTTGCCTAGTATGCATTGAGGTGCTGGGTTCAATCCTCAGCACCACATTAAAAAATAATAATAATAAAATAAAATAAGGGCATTCTGTCCATCTAAAACTATAAAAAAATTTAGAAAGAAATAAAAATGATTTTCAGACTTATATGGCTTAATTTAGCTTAAATGACTTTAAATTGATGCTCACTTTTCAAGTAAATATAAATATATGTCTACATGGACTCTAAAGTAGAATGAAGTCATTATTTGGTATAAACAGCTATTTGACTTGTTTGTATTTGATTTGAAATAATTTAACTGTTTTACACATTTATTTTAAGGGCAGGATTGTAATTAATTCATTTTTATGTCAATAGAAACTATATCCATACATCCTCTCACATATCAAATGATTTATATAATAAATGATTAATAAATCTATTTGAAAATGAAAGAAAGGAAGGCCAACATACATCAAGAAATAAGTGAAAGAAAATATGAATGAGTGAGAATTTATAAATGCACTGGGCTTTATTTATAGTTAATTGATGGACTAAGAGAATTACATTTTTCTTTATGGGATAGTCTACCTTAGGTAGCCAAATTAGTTTATACAGATAAAGGAATGATAATTATTTTCATGTTCTTATTTAATTAAACCTGATACTCTTCTCTATAATGATATAATTGGAAATAAAACTAAGTTTATATAGAAAAACAGCCAGCAGGGAACTAGAAAATGTAACTAAGAAAACGATCATAATTATGTGGTGGAACTCAATCTCAAAAATGTTTGCCTTAAGGGATCAAAAGCTTTTTTTCTGACATTTGAAGGCTACAAAACTTAATTTCCCTTATGGATCACTTTATAAAACAGATCTTGCTTTGCATTTAAAGATTTACATTTTATACATTTTCCTGAATTATGCAGATATAAATTGTTGTTTGTGTATCTCTGCCTGCATTTTCAAAAAAAAATATTTAAAAGCCAAGAAATTAAACTTTATAATTAGTATTTTTAATGTTATTCCTGGTATGAGGTAAATGAATGTTTGGCTATCAATCATCCTGTAGGAGCCCAGAAATAAAATGAAATGGATTTCCCATTGAGAGAAAAAATTAAAACAAAGCACAATGGTTTAGAACTGTGATTGGCAAAAGCCCTTTTAGGGTCATGACATTGGTTGCTATGCTACACTCCCTTCTGCTCATTAACCCCACTGACCCCAAAGAAGATCAATTAGTTTTCTTTTTGGTTAGTAATCTTAAAATCAAAAAGAGTGAAAATATTAGAAACGAGGGTGATAATGAGCACTCTACAGAAAAAAGAGGGTTGGATAACATGTTTTAATTATTGTAATGTCATTCTCAACATATGCATGAGATTATTTTGGCCTGATGTGAGTGCACACTAAATTCCTGTAGTCCACTATTTTCTTACTATGAAAAAATTGTCATTGCCCATAGGAAGTAGATAGGTTAGTCACAAATATGTTACCAGGCCCTTGTTGAAAACTATAAGCTATAAATTATACCACTGAGTTTTTGTATATCTCTTATGCTCGATTATTGTGAAAAGGACCAAAGTGACTCTGATTTTTATATGTGATGAATTGAAACTAAGATAAACATTATCTTAAAGCAGCACCTTTACACCCATATCTGAAACTGTAACTGGATTATCAGCCTTTGTAAAAACATTTCTCGCAGAGGAAGCTCTGGAATGCAACTATCACTGACTCTTCACCTCAATGACAAAATTATCTAAATTTGTCAATCAATCCAAGTGCCAACATATCTATAGTTGTCTCTTTGTTGTCTGTCTCTTCTGTCTGTGTCTATCTATCTAATCTGGATTTCACTCATATCACACCACTAACATCATATAAAATCATATATCATGTCTGTCTATTCTATATGTATCAAACTCAAAAGCATTTCTCATTCATTAATCTATTTGAAACTTATGTGGATTCCCAAATTTATGGAAAACTCCCTTAGTTCTCAAGCTACATCTCTGCAGGCTGAGCCATGTTATTGTTGTTGTTCAATTCTCATGCTTTGAATGTTAATATTCCTTTAAAATCTGCTTCTAGCTCTCTCTTTCCTCTACTCCAAAATTTTCATGTAGTACCTCCATATATACCCATGTCTCTCAAAGTGAGAAATTCCCTGTTTTAACCTTTGTCCTGAGCATTGAGCTGACATCACAGACTTCTGTTGAACATGACCATGTGGAGTTTTGACAAGCACTTCACACTGTATATAGCCAAGAGAAGTTAACTAATCCATTATCTTTCTGGCCCTCTTTGGAGGTGATTATATTATGAAGCACCCCTCTAGTCCTTAGGAGATGTAGTTGTATTTGCATCCTTCACCTACTGCATACCTTCTTATTATTTTTCAGATTATGAAATTTCTATCTTCTTTTAACCCTAAGGCAGTATTGCACTAGTTATAGTACTCATGTTGTGCATTAAATCTTAGACTGCCATTCTACCTGTCCGCTACTATATATATATATAGAGAGAGAGAAATACATCTCCTTTTCTTCCCACCTGATCCATCCTGCATTTCTACTTCAAAATATATCTGTCATCATTTTCTTTTATTTTATTTATAAAGGACTTTATTTTTAAAGAAACTTTGAGTTCACAACAAAAGTGATGGAAGGTACAGAGTTTTCTGATACATTCCCTGCCTCCCCTGTTATCCACACCCTCTACCAGAGTGGTTCATCTGATACAATTGATGAGCTTACACTGACATTTTTTAATCTTTCAAACTCTGCAGTTTAGATTAGTATTTACTCTTGGTATTTTACAGTCTCTATGTTTTTATTAATGCATCCTAATGTGCATATAACATTATAGTATCATACAAAGTAGTTGCACTGACCTAAAAATCCTGTGCTTTCCCTTTTCAGTCCTCCCCCACCACTTCTTGACAACAACTGAATTTTCACTTCTTTCACTTTATAATATGCATTAAAGCTTTCTCCATGTCTTTTCATGGCTTGATAACCTATTTCTTTTAATGCTGAATAAAATGCATTATCTCAATATACCACAGATTGTCTATTCCTTCTCTTACTGAAGAACATCTTTGTAACTTTCACTTTTTTATCAATTATTAATAGATCTACTATAAATGTCTTATGCAGTTTTTAAGCAGTAATATTATCAATTCCCTTCTGTAAATAACACGGAGTAGGATTTCTAAAATGTATGCTGAGACCATGTTTAGTGTTTGTTTCTAATTTTTTATTGGTTCTTTTTGGTTTTACATGATAATAAAATTTATTTTGATATAATTATAAAAGCATGGATTATAATTTGTTCTAATTCAGTCTCCAGTGTCTCTCTTTCCCTCCTTTCCTCTCACTTTCTATTCCCTTCCATCTACTCTACTGATCTTTCTATTTAATTATACTTTTTAAAAAATTAATGTTGGGCTGGGGTTGTGGCTCAAGTGGTAGCACGCTCACCTACAATGGGTGAGGCACTGGGTTGGATTCTCAGCACCACATAAAAATATAATAAAGATATATGTCCACCTAAAATTAAAAAATAAATATTAAAAAATTAATGTCTTGTGGTTGTACACAATGATGAGATTCACTGTGCTATATGCATATACATATATACAGGAACATTAGGCCCAATTCATTCTATTGTTGTTCCCTATCCCATTCCTTCCCCCTTCCCTTCATTCCCCTTTGTCTTATCCACAAAACTTCTCTTATCTCCCCCCACTTTATTGTGAGTTAGGCTCCACATATCAGAGAAAACATTTGACCATTGTTTTGGGGGGCATTGGCTTATTTCATTTAGCATGATAGTCTCTAATCCATCCATTTACTGGCAAATGTCCTAAAGTCATTCTTCCTGATAGCTGAGTAATAATCCATTGTGTATATATACCACAATTTCTTTGTCCATTCATCTGTTGAAGGACACCTAAATTGACTCCACAGAATAGCCATTGTGAATTGAGCTATTATAAACATTGATGTATCACTGTAGTATGCTGATTTCAAATTGTTTGGATATATACCAGGTCGTATGGTGGTTTTAGTCCTAGTTTCTTTGAGGACACTTCCTACTGTTTTCCAGAGTAGTTGCACCAATTTGCAGTCCCACAAACAATATATCAGTGTACCCTTCCCCCCACATTCTCACCAATATCTATTTTTACTGATATTCTTGATAATTGTCATTTTGACTGGAGTGAGATGAAATCTCAATGTAGTTATAATTTGCATTTCTTAAACTGCTAGAGATGTTGAACACTTTTCATATATTTGTTGATCCTTTGCATTTCTTCTTTTGAGAATTGTTTATTTCCTTTGCTCATTTATTAGTTGGATCATTTTTTTGATGTTAAGTTTTTTGAGTCCTTTATATATCCTAGATATTAACATCCAATCTGAGAGACAGGTGCAAAGATTTTTCTTCCATTCTTTAGGCTCCTTCTTCATGCTCCTAATTGTTTCCTTTGCTGTGAAGAAGCTTTTTAATTTGGTCCCATTCATTTATTTATTTCTAATTTTATGTCTTGCACTTTAGAGTCTTGTAAGAAAGGCAGTTCCTGAGCTAATATGTTGGAGTGTTGGGCCTACAATTTCTTCTAGCAGTTGCAGGGTTTCTGATCTAATTCCTAGGTCTTTGGTCTACTGTGAGTTGAGTTTTCTGCAGGGTGAGTCATGAGGTTAAATTTCACTTTATTACCTATGGATTTTGAGTTTTCCCAGCACCATTTGTTAAAAGGCAATTTTTTCTCCAACATGTTTGGCAACTTTGTCTAGTTTCAGATAACTTGTATCTATGTGGGTTTGTATCTGCTTCATCTATTCCATTCCAATGGTCTTCATGCTTATTTTGATGCCAGTACAATGCTG